CTTCGTTTATTTGTTTAATCATTCAATTTTCTTTAATTTTCTTTTACCCCGTATGTCTTATCGTCCGTTGTGCAACTACCCTCCAAGTCCAATAACTGTAGTCGTACAACCTCGTTTCAGCCCTACCAAGCACGCACTTGACTGCACCACGAGTACATTCAACAACTACTGCACTCCACTTTCCTTCTTTGTCTCTCATTTTCTGTTTTCATGGCACTCATGACCTGAATCTGATCCTGCATATTCGCACTTTGTGGCCTTCACCCTCACTTCTGTAAGTCATAAGACGATGTGCCGTCCTTCACTACAGCTTCACTGCATGTACAGCCAATGATTGCAGAATCCTCACTTGGTTCTTCCACACACCCCCTACGTCATATTCATACCATTGTGCGGAGTAGCTGGTCCCCTCCAAATAAATTAATCCCTCCGCCAAAGAAAAGAAAACCTAGTCTTGATATTGTTGACCCCAGTCTTCATATTGTCAACCCTGTCAACTTTTCGTTAACCCATGTACGACTGTCGACAATCAATAGGAGCTATTCACTACACCAACTCCGCTTGATTCCTTGTCGAACCATCTTAAACCATATTGTAGGGTAATATTGGTGCGAGTGATAGTCATCAATCTCCCGGCAAGTTCCTGACGCCAAACACGACTTCAACACCTTAGCAAACTTGATAAGTCACACTTCGTGGGTCTGCCGAACCGTTGACAAGTCACATACGCCAGTTTGCAGCATCGCAATGAATGACATCTCTGCATTCCTTACGACGTGATTACTCCTGTACCACTTTACTCCATACATGCCCATACATATTGCGCACCACACTCCACACCCAGCGTTCATCAGTGGGGTTCACCCTTGTCAACGGTCCAACATATATGGAACGAGTTGCCTTCGTGGAACACCGAGCGATAGTTCTACTTCCTAACTGTTATTATTGTTCAATATGCAAGATGTGATTGCACTACTGTTGATACGACCTAATAAGACCTGCCGTCTTCATAGCACCGCCACGACCTAATGTAAACGCCCATTCTTTACGTGTAAGCTACATCAACGTTGCCCGCTCTTAAGATGCGAGTACTGCCAGTAATACAAGGTAGTAGTAGTAGAAGTACGTGTAGCCTCTCCGCCCCTGAGCTCTCGCAAACGTCGCAGCGACGCTCGGGCGACGAGTTAGTAACACGTCAACACTTGGCTGCAGCAGGCCCCATTTCCCACGTTGGAGCCCCAAGAGCGCCATGTTCCATCACTCGTGGTCAGCCAACTTTTCCAGTGCTAAATACACGTAGTACTCATGCAGTCGTACTGGTCAACTGCTGGTCATATGTAACACCCGACGCCCGCACGACGTTAATAGACAGGGACCAAGCTGGAGGGTGGGGTGTGCACTCTCAATCTCATCATAGCCTCATACTTGTGCATGGGTACGCTGTACGGGGAAGGGATAACCAACCTTCCTAGCGTTGTCACCAATATATTATCACATTGAGGTCGCTCAACAAAAACGTCCAACTCACCAGAGGACAATGAGGTCTCTGCCCTGTCCTCACGTCTGTCACCAATGGCCGTGATCCATTTTTCGACAAACTGCCGAGCGCCATGGACAGGACCCGAGTCACAGTCTCATTTTAGCATCGCCACGGCGCTATCATGGTACGTGACAAGACCACGGATTAACATGGACCTATAAAATCATCGTCCGTCACTCGTAGTACTCGTACGAGTACCTACCATTAGACAAAAAAAGTTGCATTACGTATTATTACTTCTCCAGGGGCAAAAAAAAAAGAAAAGAAACGAAACGCAGTGTGTCCGAAATGTCCAGATAGGCCCATTCAGTAAAATATTACATTGGGTAGTAATACGCATACACCCCCTCCCCCTTCCTTCCTCCACCAGTTGTGACCGTTGTGCCTCTTTATTCGAGAGCCCCATCGTTGGAACGTTCTTTTAAGTGGTATCAAGACAGTTACTTGGACGCTCCATGTCTATTTGATCCATCCCTTAGGACCACCCCAGTTCCCCTTGACCATGGCGCTCCAGTAGACCCATGGGAAAAAGTCCTTCTTGAGGTAGTAGAAAAGGCGGCGGGGCTCAGCTTGGTCGAAACCAATCAGGTCACCAAATGTCTCTTTGGGCACGCCGCCGTACTTGAACTCGGCTAGGAGCACCTTGCCGTACTCGGTCAGCAGAGGGCAAGAGGTGTACCCGTCGTACCCGGCGTCGGCCGTCTGTCCCTCCATGGCCCGCAGGATGTTGCCCACAATGACGGGAGCCTGGGCCGTTACGGCAGCCGCTGTCTTGGACGTGGGCAGGCTTGACGCATCGCCAGAGGACCACACGTTTGCGTACTTGCGGTGCCGCGCCGTGTTGTCGTCCACGTCCACATACCCTGCCTTGTCGGCCAAGGGGCTGTCGCGGACAAACGCGTGGGGGCCCATCTTAGGAACGGCGTGCAACAGGTCAAACTTGCGCACCACTCGCTCCTGGCCGTCGGGGCGGGCAAAAACGGCCTTGTCTCCATCGACCTCGACCAGGTCGTGCTGGAACAGACCCTCCACCCCGCGCTCCTGCCTCAGCTGCTCCAGCTTGGCGGCGTACTTGGGCACGCCAAACATGGTAGGCATTCCCGTGGCGAAGGTGATGTGCACGGGTGATGTTGACGGTGAAGAGGGGTTATACAGCCCAGCCTTCTTCCAGTAGTCCAGGGCGAGCCACATAGATTTTTGCGGCGCGCCGGCGCACTTGATGCCGCCCAGGGGCTGCGTGAAGATGGCCTTACCCTTGGCCAACGTGCGCACGAGCGGGTCGAGCTTAGACACTGAGTCGTACCCGTAGATGGATGCTACGGGAGCGGCACGGTCCGTCAAGGCGTCGGAGAGACCCTTTATGCTCGAGAAGTCGACCTTGATGCCCGGAGCCACCACTAGGTGATCGTACGTCAGCTTGGTGCTGCCCAGATTCACCGTGTTCTGCTCAGGCTCGAACCTGCTCACGGCCTCGGCGTACAGTTTGAGCTTGGGGTCCGTCAGGCTGTTCAGCGGCCTTCGTAGCTCCTCCTTGTTCTTGAGTCCGGCGCCAACCAGCGTCCATCCGGGCTGGTAGTGGTGCCACTCGGCCGGGTCCACCACGGCAATGTCGTCCTGCGAGAAGCGCCCCGTCTTAAGTAGCTGGTGGGAGATGGCCAGACCGGCCGAACCACCACCCACCACCACCACCTTGTGAGTGCGGGCGCCTGGTGTAGCTGTCGTTTCGGCCGCTGCCGTTGCGAATGTGCGTGCCATAGGAGAGAGTCGTGTCGCTGTGGAAAGCACACGTCGCACTTTGAAGGCCAACATTGTGTCTGCCTGTGTGTGTGCGCTTTGAATAGCACGTTGATCCCGCTTCGAATATGGTCAACTGGAACAAGAGACAGTGTGACGATCCGCGTAGAGTTCTGGTTTTTTTGGGTTGGACGAGATTTTTGACGCCTTTCCAAGTCCTTGACGTTATGCGGTCATTTTTACTACTGAGCCGTACGATTTCGGCGAATGGCGGGGGGAAAAAAAACCTAAAAGATATAGCCCGGCCGGGTCGCCGGCGGTGATCACGTCATGCGGCGCGCGGCAATGCCGCTCTGATGCATTACTGCAATTATAAGCCGCAGGACAGCGATACACCTGCCACTTCCTTTTTCAGTAGTCAACTAAATGTTACAATGGCACGGCTTACCGAAATGTACGCTTGCACTCATGTAAAGGAATTATTCCGAAGGCCAATACTCGATTTAAATCACGCCTTCTGTTGCTACTACTCGGGCACTACTGTACGAGTAGTACCTCCACTTGACTACGAGTATGCGGCTCCCAACTGTATAATACACACTATATATATATATATATTGTCCTATGAGGTATCAAAACAACCATCGCTTTGTACATTGAACGAAAAATGAAAGAATGAACATGGACGAGACGCAACCCCTTTAATTCCACCCACTCCCAAACTCTTGGTACACCATGCTCGTGCAAAAAGAGAAAGACTCTTGTATATAAGAAGAAAAATGGAAAAGAAAAAGAACAACGGCCCCCGATAAGTCACCATCACACGTGCACATCCACAGGCTCAGCTCCGGGTAAACCATCTAGGTCGTGAACATCCTTCTGTTCCTCCATCATATCGATCAGGCTGTCGAGGTTGCTGTCCAAACTCTCTTCGTCCCTGGGGTCAAGACACCTCTTGAGCAGCTTGCGATACTTTTCAATCTTGTCGCCTGTGCCCACCATGCTCAGCGCGTCCACGTACTCAGACTCGACCTGCCTCTGTTCAGCCAGTAGCTGACCCAGCTGCCGTGCCAGGTCGAGCTTCTCCTCGTACGTATCCTCTTGCGCTGTCGCCGCCGTCGCAGCGTCTCCGTTGGCCTTGCTCAGTTCCGCATCCACCGTATGCTGCACGTGCAGCCGATTTTGGTGTGCAATCAGCTCCAAAACCTGGTGCTTAGCTATATTGGCCTCGTTCATCAGCCTAGCCGCCGCATCGTCCGTCTCAAGCTGGGCCTCGAGCTCTGCAATCTGCTGTCGGGCCACGTTGAGATCTGTCTGCGAGTTGCTAAGGATCCGCCGTGCCTCCGCTTCGGCCACGTCCTTCTGTTGCCACTCGTCTTCGTAGCTCTTGGCCAGGTCCTGGAACTTGTCCAGAATCAGCGGCGAGATCCGGTTGTGTACGGTGTTTGCCGCCGCCGACGAAAACGACACTGACGTTTTCTTGGCTGCTCCCTTGTCCGCAAAGGCATCTCGGAACGACACGTGCTTATGCGAGTCGGGTGCAAATGGCGACGAGGACCGTTGATGACCCCTGTCTTTCTTGTTGGCGTTGAGCTCCATGATGAGATCTTCTGCCCTGACACCCTCATTGTTGGGTATGTCTGACGAAGCGTTACGTCCAAGAAGCGACCTGATGCACTTGCGGGCGTTGCGGTACGCTGCGAGGTGCAGCGCCGTGTTTCCGTCGTTGCTCTGTGCATCTACCAAAAGCTGGAAAGCATTAGGGTCAAGCTCCCCTTGAAGACGGTTTAGTATACTATCCAGGTAGTACCGTGAGCAAGGGTGGCTGTAGACCCTGCCGTTCTTCATGATGGCTGCATGGTGGATGACGGTGCAGCCCTGGTGATCGCGGGCATCGGCCGTTTCGAACAGCTCATCCATGACGGCAGGGAACGATTGCTTCTCAAAGCAGTTTGTAAAGTTGAGCGCCCTCATCAGAGGTGTCTCTCCACGAATGTTTCGGGCTGAGATATCGGCGCTGAATCTTTTGAGCTGTTTGATAACATCCACGTCACCCATAGCTGACGCCCAGTGAAGGGCAGTGTGGTTCTCGGCATCGATGAGCCAGTTGGGCTGGAAGTTGGGAGGCGGATCCGGCTTTACTGCCGGCTGCTCGTTGTGCGAGAGCAAAAAGTAGTCGAGGAGCTCGTCACCGTACAGCGCGTGTTGCTGCTCCGTCAAGTCATGTATCTGCTCCTCCCTCTTTCGCTTGCGGTGACCCGTCGAAACGTGAGACATATCAAAGCGGTCTTCTTCACCCATGTATGATGCCGAGGCCACGGTGAGGTTGTCCGGGGTGTCATCCTCACCCATCATGGTCGAGTCGGCGGTATTATCATACTCTTCAACTACCTGGGGAGGAGGAGGGGGAGGAGGAGGGGGGGCGTCTGCGGTTTTGATTAGAGTTCTTACATTCTTCCATACGTATATTCAGGGCCGGGAGAGGCATACTGTTCCATTTCGGGATCGGCGGTTTAGATTTGGGCGCCTTCGGCTTGCTTGCATGCTTCGGGGCCGGCGGCGGGCTCTCGTTGCCTGGGCGAAACTCGAAGATGGGCCGGAGCGAATCGTACACGCTGTGTCGCACCGCCAGAGACTCTGCAGCTGGCATAGGTATCCAGGTTCCTAAATGACGTTAGAAATAGAAAGGCGAAGTAGAGCGAGTGTTTTCTGGTCGGCCAACAACATACCCTGGTACTTTCCGTAACCGCCCTGAATTTTCTCGTGTGTGTCTTTCTGAACATCGCGCTCGAGGATACGAGTTCTCGCTGGCTTGTCAAACCCGGCAGCCTTCAACACATGTGTCGCATTCACCCAGTCATCATGCCGCCTTCGCATAACATGTTCTTTGAGGTCCACACCAAATTGGAATTCGTATACAGGAATCTGAGAAAGGTGCGATGTTAGCAAACACATTCGCGCAAGGAAAAATTGATGCCACCCCAACTCGACCGCGGCCTCCATCAAGTCCGAAGACAGCAATGGTGGGAACCCAAAGGGAAGACAATGTCACTAAAGAAGTACGAGGGACGGTTTACTTACACCACTGTATGTGGCACTGTAGACGCCGGGGCTGTCGCCCTTGACCATGATGGCAAAGACTGGAATATGTATGTCTATGCCACGCAACCATGCAGGTTCTAAGTGCTCTCGGAAAAAACGACTCGAGCGAGTGATATGAGAAGATGCAGTGATCGGAGAAACGTTGAAAAGTCTAGGTGTAGTGGCGGATACAAGAAGTCGCCGTTGACGTCGAGCCTTGCCGACAGAGATGAGGGTGAGCGGGTCAATTGGTGGAAGAAGAGAAAGGCCAGACAGGGCACGTTAGACGACGCGCTCCAGGGATTAGCGACGCGCCCTTCACGCGCGGTAGATAGTTTAATTGATTTTAATGCCTGAGGCACCAATAATCAGTAACGTTCCTGGCACACAATTCGGGTACGAGTGGACTCCAATTCACACTAGGGGGTCCAGCACGTGACTGGACCAAACAGCCAGCAAGCAAGCAAGCAGAGAACCCTGAAGCCTCCTGAGCTCACCTATGCTGGGCTTGACGCGTTTCATTTCACGGAGAAAGCTATTAAAGCCAAACGAATCTTGACAAATCAACAACCGCCAAAACAATCGGGTGCCCCCACCAGTACGACAATCGAGGGGTGATAGCAGCTGCGCGATCCTCCAACGACTTGCAATCCCAAGCTTCAACCCTGAGACCCGAGCTCGAGGAGGTTTATCGCCCAAACGCACATCTGTGAAGCTCCCACCTTAGCGTCAGTCTAAGCACCCCCACGGCCTGAGAGAGCACACGATACAGCCCCCATTGGGCAACTGCGAGACAATACCAAGCGCGCACACACATACACATAAACATGGCCGACTCGCTGCACAACGCGCCCATTGTACTCGACAATGGTTCAGGAACGATCCGTGCAGGTTTCGCGGGCGAGGATGCACCAAAGTGTTTCTTTCCGTCATTCGTTGGGCGCCCAAAGCACCTGAGGGTCCTCGCCGGTGCTCTGGAAGGAGAGGTGTTTATCGGGCAAAAGGCGGCGACGGAGCTCAGAGGTCTACTAAAGATCAAGTATCCGCTAGAGCACGGCATTGTGACAGATTGGGACGACATGGAGCGCATCTGGGAGTATGTGTATGGAGAGGGACTTAGGACACTTAGTGAAGAGGTACGTGAGAGGAAGGGGGAAAGAGATCAAGTATGGGAATACGAGTGACTGACATTAGTGACAGCATCCTGTTCTCCTGACAGAGCCGCCCTTGAACCCTAGGAGCAATCGCGACACGGCTGCGCAGATACTATTTGAGACATTCAACGTCCCCGCGTTACACACGTCGATACAAGCCGTTCTCTCATTATATGCCAGCGGCAGGACGACGGGCATCGTGCTGGACTCGGGTGACGGTGTGTCACACGCCGTGCCGGTCTACGAGGGCTTCGCCATGCCTAGCAGCATCCGCCGAATCGACGTCGCCGGACGAGACGTAACCGAGTACCTGCAGATGCTGCTGCGGAAGAGTGGATACGTCTTCCACACGAGTGCGGAGAAGGAGGTGGTGCGTCTGATCAAGGAGAGCGTGTCGTATGTGGCGCATGATCCGCGGAAAGAGGAGAAGGAGTGGTTCGGAGTCAAGCACAATGAGAGCAAGATGGGCGAATACGTGCTCCCTGACGGTCACAAGCTCAAGGTCAGTCTTACCTCCATCAGTGATTTGTACAATGGCAACGCTGGTGACTAACAAATAACAGATTGGAGCTGAGCGCTTCCGCGCCCCCGAGATTCTATTTGACCCCGAAATCGTCGGCCTCGAGTATCCCGGCGTGCACCAGATTGTTGTCGATGCCATCAACCGTACCGACCTCGACCTACGGAAATCGTTGTACAGCAACATTGTTCTGTCGGGTGGCAGTACGCTGACCAAGGGTTTCGGCGACCGACTGCTGCACGAGGTGCAGAAGCTGGCGGTCAAGGACATGCGTATAAAGATTTTTGCGCCGCCGGAGCGCAAGTACTCGACATGGATAGGAGGAAGTATTCTTGCTGGTCTGAGTACATTCCGCAAGGTATGTTTTGCTCTTGGATGCTTACTATGGTGTGTTTACGTACTGACACGACGGCATGACAGATGTGGGTGAGCATTGATGACTGGCACGAGAACCCGGACATTATCCACACCAAATTCACCTAAACGGCTGTGAACAATGGGATGAGAGAGAGAGAAGGGCGTGGCATTCCTCCTACCAACGGAACTAATTTGGACAAGAATCTGCGGCATCCTGAAAGCCTCTCAAGACAATGCTTCTGTAGCACTCCCGGGCAGAGAGTGGAAAAAAGGCCGACCCGATGGATACTGATACCACTACCTACTATTGCGTCACCACCACTACTACTTAATAGTTGCCACTAAACTTATACCAAAGCAGGCGGGCATATTGCTTGAAAGACTTGATTGGGGAATGACTAGGATGTCCCATTGTGGTCGAATAGAAGAAAGAAGCCAATGATACCCATTTGTGCTGTCCAGGGTCAGTGCAATGAGAAGGATTCACATAATAGTAGAAGGATCAATATTTGATGATGCGGTACATAGGATTCATTTCATTCGTATAACAGCTCTGCGCTTCTGCGCAATAGAGGTACATAATATTATAAGAAAAAAGAGAAAAAGAAGATCACCAGATGCAAACGCCGCTCCCAGTCCCTTTTGTTCTGAGGTCCCCTGCTTTTGTTCGTTTGTTTTTTTTTGTTCGCCAATCCCCAATGATAGTAAAACAAGAGTACATCAAGATCAAAACGCCATATCATGCTCTGTTGGAAGTACCCTCATGTAGAGGGCACTTTGGCTTACAGCTCCTTGCCAGTGATATGAGCCCATATCTTGGACCTGGAGCTGACAGAGCTCATAGAGCTGCGGGCGTCGTCACTGCTCGAGGCGCTCGCGTCGCTGTGCTTGCGGTGGTAGACGTTGCCGGCGCCGCCGATGCCACAGTGGCCACGCTCCGAAGCGTTGTCCTCGCGGGTAGCCAGGCGACGAAGCTCGTCGTCAAGAGATGCGGCGGGGCGTTCCTCGGCCTTGTGGACGTTGCCTGCTCCGCCGATGCCACTGTAAAAGCGACGAGAGGGCGATGGAGGGCTCACGACGGAGTGGTCGGCCGATGTAATGCGAGGAGTGCTAGCCGAGCCACGCGGGGCGCGGAAGGTGTTTCCTGCGCCCCCACGACCAGCACGGACGTAGGTAGTCGTCGTCGGAACGGGCTCTGTGATGACAAAATTGGGCGCCATGATAGCGATTGTAGTTGTGATTATGGTGGTGATAGTGGTGGGGAGTGTAAGTGATATGGTGGTGATGCAGCTTGGGACCAGGATAGAGTCAAGTCTCAAATTGCAAGCTTTGTAGTTATCTTAAAAGGTGATCTTTTATGTATAGTCTTCTCTCCCTTGAAGCAGGATAGTAAAATGGTGAAAAGTGATAATAATGAGCAGAGAAATATAGGTGAGGCCACACTGGCGTATTTATTGCTACGACGACAGCTACCGACACGCATTTCCCCTGGGAACAAGGGCGGGTCCTCCAAAACCAACAATGGGTCACAGGATTGATCATGAGCAAGAGAAAAAAAAGATTTTCCTCACTTCTCTCTCCTTCTAGCTATTAGCTCTCTCCACACTTGACCCATGACGCCCACGCCGTGCCCGTTGGGCCCCTTTTGGCCCCCCCCCCCCCTTGGCCCTTGTTGAATTTTCCCCACGATCTCACAATTCAGACTCATGGATGGAATTGCTCAGGTGACGGGTCGTGTGGGGGATGGTGAAAGGAAGAAAATTCAAATACACACTGTATGAATACGGAAAAAACTGGTGATAACATACAGTACCCGTTTGTGACTCTGTACTGTATCAGGTAGCCAGGGGTAGCAATCTATTACGAGAAATGCGTCACAAGGTGCCACAAAGTCTCCAGTGAACACCAGCCCAAGCAGTTGAAAAACGTAACATTTATCCCATGGAAATACAATTCTGTATGGCCATGTTTATTTTCTTTTATTTTCTATATATTTTCCAATTTGTTTCAATTTTTTCATCTGGGCATTGTTGGCATCCTGAATCCACCCTAGCCAACCATGGAGTTTCCTGGGGGTAATGTAAATGCAATTGCATCATCCCTGGACCGAATCACTCCTCCCATCTGCCTGTAAATGGACGGCTCATGAGAACGTGCTTTCTTTTTGTTTTGTTTCCCTTGACCGGTGCCGGATTACGGAGGAGAGCTCATGGAAGCAATTTTTGAGCTTTACTAATTAATGAGTCAATCATGGAGAGAATTTTGCGTGTAGACGAGGCAAATCTTCGCAATTAAGCACGCAACGATCCGAGACCTGGGCTAAAGGTGGCGAGTGCGTCTCTTAACAATACATCTACTAGTCTGTACAATAAGGCCGAGTACAGTGAGTGAGAATGTATGTGTTGTCCTTGTTGTATGAATGAATATCGTCTAGTAATATAATATATGTGTCACTACTCGTACCCAGCCGCATGACCTGGACGGACGGCCTAGATGCGTTATCATATGACCTTTTCTCTCTCTCTTTCTTGGGAATACATTCTAGAACTCTCTCCTCTGAGTAATCCAATAATGGTGTCCTATAATACGACTTATATGGGCAATGTATGAAACATAATCTTTTCCCTGAATGACGGCATTTGAGTTCTCTCAGCTTTGTTTTAACTCCATATCGTGACTATTGAGAGTAGAAACAGTTGGCAACGTCCATCTCTGACGTTTCAACACACTCGCCACACTAATGTAACATCATGGATTGACAATAAAAGCTAGAACCGACTCGATTCATCCAGCTATGGCCAAGACGTTGAAATCGTGTGCGGCACAGCATAGGGTAAGCGCCTAGCTCAGGAGATTTCGTCAGCGCAGTGGAAATATCTAGAACCCCTCATTCCTACCTTGTTGGCGTTGTTGAAACAGACAAAAACCCCGCTACGACATCCGACAACATTACCATTTTGCCATAAAGATTACCTGCTATTACGGGTAACAGAAAGGAGAGAAGAAAAGAAGAAGGGAAAAAAGAGACAACGACCAACGACAAAATGTCCGACGACAAAATCCACCACATCACCTCCTCCGCGGAATTGTCCGCCCTCTTCTCCTCAAACACGTATGTCGCCGTCGACTTCTTCGCAGACTGGTGCTCCCCTTGCCGTGCCATCGCTCCTGTATTCGCCCAGTTGGCCGCCCGCCACTCCGTCGATGGCCAGCTAGCCTTTGCCAAGGTCAACGTCGACCACGTCCGCGACGTAGCCGCCCAGCACCGCGTTACTGCCATGCCCACCTTCCTCTTCTTCAAGGAGGGTCGTCAGGTCGCTGTCAACGGACAGGCTGCCATCCAGGGTGCTGATCCGAGAACCCTGGGTGCTGCGGCGGAAAAGCTCGGTGGTCTGGCACAGAAGCGTGCCGCCGAGGCAAAATAGCAATGCTGAACATACTTCATCGCGACATAGACAGTCGGCATTGGCGGCCATTCCCCAGGCCTTGACACCGTGGTCGCCTACAGGCGTTGGGAGCGTTTGCTTTTTATTTTTGTTTATTATAATCTTCTCATGAAGAGAAGTGAAATATAGAGGAAAAAATTTGCATTCTATTGGTACTAAATACCGGCTTGTTATCAAGCATGGCGCAGCCTCCATCCTCGCCTGTTCCCATTACCAAACGCCGATCATATAAAAACAGATTTCCTGTTCAGATGTGCAAAAGCGGACCAGAAGTTGTGATATCATACGCTAAAACAATTGGGTCACAACGCCAGACGAAATAAAACAAAAAGGAGACATGGTAAAGCGTCTAGGCATCACCGCCGAAACTCATCCACCCATACATGCCGATGGCGCTCCCCAGAATCAGGAAAGTCAAGATACCAGCCCCGGCCCTGTCTCCCGTTGTGATGCGGTCCTGATCATCTAAAAAGCTGTTGGCCTCCGACCCAGCATTGGGGTCACCTTTGCTGGTGCCTCCTTTCTTGGCCGTTGCGGGGGCGGCAACGTCGTCGAGGAGAAGTGCCGAGAAGGCGCCAAGGGCACTCATCTCCTGTCCCGCGCCCAGGCTATCGTCGAATGTGCCCTTGGACCAGCTGAAGCCGCACTGATTTGTGCTGCCGCCCGTGCACACCTTGGCGGCGGCCTGGGCAGACTTGGTGAGGACGGGCTTGACTTGGTCTTCGATGTAAGGCGCTAATTTGGCGGCGCTCGAGTACCAGCGGTGCACGTAGCCCTTGAAGGACAGCATATCGGTCGTGCATGAGCCGGAGGCTTCGCACCAGGGCTCATAGCAGATGCCTTCGGGGAAGAAGACTTTGAAACCGTGTTCGAGCATCTTGTCTAGGCGACTTTTCCATTTGGTGTCACCATCGGTCTTTACTGGGTTAGTGCATGGCCTAAATGGGGATTGTGACGAAGTAAGGGAGAGGGAGAGAGAAAGAGAGGGAAATATACATAATTGTACATGAAAGCAGCACCCTGGAGGAATACAGCGTTGTTGTATGAGTACTGCTCCTTGTTGATATCGGTGCAGTTTGTTTCAACGTGCGCTCCGTCGTAGAGTGCCTCGTTGTCGGTCCCCATGAATCCTACTCCCTCCATCCAGTCCCACGTCTTCTCGGCCCACTCAGCGTAGGTACTGTTGTCTGTGTAGCGGGCGAGGCGGGCACCGATGTTGAAAAAGCAGCCGTTGGCAATCGTGTTCTTATAGTCGTATCCCTTGTTGGAGAAGGGGACCTGCCAGCGCAGACCGCCACCGCAGATGTTGCTCTGCCATCGGTCCGGCGTGGCCATGGAGTTGAAGACGGCCTGGGCCAGCGCGAGCCACTGCGGCTGATCCGCGGCGGGGTTGGAGAAGACGGTTTCGGCTGCCGTCATGGCCGTCATGCCCCAAAATCCTTGGTCGTCGTTTCCCATTGAGGCCGTATAGTTTCTCGGCATGAAGTCGTTGTTCTCGCCGGTCTGGAACAGAATGGAACTCTTGACCAGGTCGTTATACGTCGTGTCGCCCGTGTAGTACCAATAGTCGATGAAGGCCCCCCACATGGCACCGCCCTGCCACCAGTAATATGGTCCCAGACCTGATGCTGGCGGTCCTGGCAGGATACCGGGGGTCTGGCCAGTCTCGTTACCGTGATAGTACTGCAGTAGGTTCCAGGCAACTTGGCTGGCAGCCTTCTTGATGTTTGCTGCGAGGTTTTGTTAGGGATTATCTTGACAGAGAAGGACGGGAGCAGCTGTGTTGACGGGGAGGGTTTACCGGGCGTGTCGAGGGTGAACTGTGCCATCTGAGCCTGTGCGACGCCCATCAAGCTGACGGCAATAGCCGACGACGCCAAGGACAACTTCATGATGAGGGTTTGGATGTGCTCCAGGCGCAATGTAAGGTCGTTCCAAACAGTATTCCGACTTGTATATGATAAGCGATCTCTTGGAAGTCGACCATGTGCGAGTGATATGATGGCAGTGAGGACGATTGTATGGAAAGTAGGATGACGTCGTTGGGAAAAAGCCAGAAGATAACACCTCCAGCAAAAAGCGCCTTGTTTGGGGTGATCGTGGTAGAATCAGCAACTTTGCTATTTTATGTGAGTTGAAACTGGGCGACGAGATGTCTAGACAATGAATTTCGACAGGACGGATCCGGAGGATGTAATATCAAGAGTTTTGCTGCAGAGAGTGAATGGCGATATGCCCGAGGCAGCATGGGTGAGAGTAGAAAGGTTCGTAGCTCGTAGTGGTGGGTGGCGGTGGTGGGTCAGAAATCGGCGCATACACGGAATAACAGTGTAACAACGAACGAAGGAGGGCTTTATGTCACTACTCTGATGAGGTACTGGGTACTCATACTAGCATAAACCTTGTCGGTTAAGAATACCAGAGCCTACAATCTACTGGTACCTTGCAGCACCCGAGGAGTACCAGCCGCTGCTATATAATACTGCCTGCCGTCTTCATCACTGCATGTACCCTCGGACGGCACCCTCTCTTAGATGTACTTGTACCAGTCACTCATCAGATGGAGAAGTTCCACATCCTCAAGCCCCCAATGGCATCGGCTCTTTGTCGCTGTTTCAGTCAGGGTCGGTTTCTCCTGCTTGATCCTCATCTCCGCCCAAGTGACCCCACCACCCTCCCTCGCTGATCACTTCTAATACGAGTGCTCCATACCCAAGCGACCAAGCAGCACTGCCCGCTCTGCAGCGTATGAATTGTGGATAGATACACGAGTATTTGGCCGCTTCGTATTCAATACATCGCAGCAGTAAAGGACAGCTGGATGGTCGTGCTACCCATAGCCATGGAGAGGAGGCCTAGCGAGCGGGACTTTAGTGTTGAGTAGGAAGGGCGGGGTTTTGGGCCCAGTGCCCAACATCCCATCAAACTTCGTAGCAGAGGGCTGCTATCAGGCGTGGGAATGTCACTGGAGGAAGATATGCACCAGTAGGTCTCAGCTGGATACGACAGGAGGGAGTAGCAAGGTATGGGTTGTGATCCTTTTGATCATGGATTCCTGCCGATCATAGACACGATGAACATGTGTCCGTAGCAAACTCCTTCCTCAGGAGAGAATAGTCCGACTGTTTTCCCTGATATGGGAAACCTGGATATGTCGTCGGAGTACGCTTACAGCTTACAGCCTACATCAAATCAATTATTTTTGTAAAAAAACATACCCCAATAGTGCCAAGGCTTGCTGGCGCCCACTTCGACCCTCACGGCTGGATGGCGCCGATCGGGCGGGCCCCTGCCCCTTGGCCCTGCCAATATGTCGTAATATCTGCCAATTGATACGCCGTAGTGCTGTCTAGACGCGTATAGAAGACGTAGCATAGGCATTGGTGTTGAATGATTATCTTTACAGCCAGATGTGCTCCGCATTCGCTCAATGATTGAGAGTATCCGAGGAAGTAATATACGTATTTGGTCTTACATGTACCGCCTCAGACCGATGTCATCACGCGGGGAGTATTAGATCTAGAGACTAAACCTGGATATGCCACCGGAGATATCGGACGATGCGGGCCCTGCCGGTACAGTACGCAAGTGGGAAATAATTCAACACATCGTCATCAATACCCGTACCACAAAGCAATACACTGCATCCGGACCATAGAGCTACGAGGATTATACATGCAGAAGACCACTATCTTGATTTTAGCATCTGTAAATTTGTACGGAAACGGGCGGACCGCATCCACGACTAGCCTTCGGGCCCTAGAGTCTAGCACGGCTCTTCTGCCCTGCCAAGCAAGGACAATCTGCAGGGTCTGTTCAAATTATGTCATCATGAAAAGCCTTTCAGGAATCTCTCGGATAAACTTACTCCCGACACTGAGACAACTAGCCATGAAGGGGTCAATTAATAATAACCCAAAAGGTGTCCTTTTTTGTTTTACAGGTACAGAGTCAGAATACACGCGCCTAGCTCTTAGGAACGTCCGTACCTCCGGGATCCAACCCACGACGACGACCTAGTCTGCTTTGACATTGACGCTCTCTCGACGACCTCCCTCTGAATTTTCCTATGCAGTTGCACAAATAAATACACACTCACTACACTCATCTGGGAAAAATTTCCATTTTCGTGACACAAAAGACAGGTCCCTGCCCACTCCGGCGGCGGAACCCAGCCGCGCGTCATTCATCATGAACGAGAAGCATGGACTGAGTGAGGATGACTTTGGTGCCAAGGGGAGCATTGTTAAAGCCTTTGATGCTTTCCGTACGTCACCCTTTCTCCTCCATTGAACCTTTGCATTTCATTACTTTGTTTGTGTGGTGGCATGCAACTGACATCCATGTGGGTAATCATAATAGCTAAGTCGAAACCCGAATATGTGACGCGCACACCAGGCGGCGGCAAGTGGACCGTCGTTATGATCTTCTTCTCCATCATATTTGCGTGGACCGAGTTGGTGCATTGGTGGACGGGGTACGAGACGCACAATTTTGCGGTGGAAAAGGGCGTGGCGCACCAGATGCAGATCAACCTCGACATTGTGGTGCGCATGCCGTGCAGCGACCTGCACGTTAATGTCCAGGACGCATCGGGTGACCGAATCCTCGCTGGATCGCGACTGCAACGCGACCGCACAAGCTGGAGCCAGTGGGTCGATGCCAAGGGCATGCACCGCCTGGGCCGGGACAATGAGGGCCGCGTCAACACGGGCGAAGGATGGAAGACGTTGGTACACGACGACGGCTTCGGCGAGGAGCACGTTCACGACATTGTGAAGGCTGGCAAGAGGCTCGCGAAATGGGCCAAGACACCGCGAGTCAAGGGCAAGGCAGACAGTTGCCGCCTCTACGGGAGCCTCGATGTGAACAAGGTGCAGGGCGACTTCCACATTACGGCTCGCGGCCACGGTTATGTCGAGTTCGGCGACAGCAAGCACTTGGAGCACGACGCCTTTGACTTTTCCCACATCATTTCGGAGCTGTCCTATGGGCCCTTCTACCCTTCACTCGTCAACCCCCTCGATCGCACCGTCAATAACGTCCGCGATAACTTCCACAAGTTCCAGTACTACCTCTCCGTCGTCCCCACCGTCTATACCCATGGCTCCACCACTATTCCGACCAACCAGTACGCCGTCACCGAGCAGAGCAAGCAGATTGATGAGCGAAGCATCCCGGGCATTTTCTTCAAGTATGACATTGAGCCTATTATGCTCGTCGTCAACGAGACTCGCCTCTCTTTCCTCAGCTTCATCATCCGAGTCGTCAACGTCGTTAGTGGTGTCCTCGTCGCTGGTCACTGGGGGTTCACCATTACCGAGTGGGCTCGCGACGTCATTGGCCGTCGTCGCCGCAGCAGTGGTGGTGACGGTGTACTGGGTGCTAAGCAAGAGGATTAGACTTGAATTGTTGGCATCCCTTTGCGTAAGTGAAGGAATTGTAAAGCAAAGGAACCCAAATGGACGGATGTATTGCAGGCGACGACAAGGGTGACTTGATATGTATATTATGGAGTTAGGTCTATTATACTTGAACATTGAAACATATAAGTATCTCTATTTATTCCATCGAGGTCATCCAAGGGTCAGCCACTAGCTTCTTAGAGTGTTGAAGACTTGTGTACTCGAATGGTTGGAGTGGTACACCGACTTTAGACGTATTCTCTCCGATAGAATGCTAGACATAGCATCTCAGTCAGCAATGCTATCTCGGAGACCACTAGGGCGCAGACGACAACTAGACAAGAAAAACATAGGGACAATTCATAAGCCCCTAGCATCGATGCTAATACCGATACCGGCCAGAGGCGCATAGAGCATGGCACGGCGCCTAGCGCCAATGAAAAGTCTAGTATTGTTTTCTGACACACTATTGCTGGTGGTGGTCCGTGGAGCGGGGCCGATTTTAGGTTCATTTTTCTTTGGGCCTTGGTAGATCGGTACAAAAATGGGCAATTGACGGTTATGAACGGGCCAACAACGCGCACCAATTCCGTCTGCCGAACCCCTCCCCTGTACTTCGTACAACTTGTACAACAAAGGGCGCGAAAGTCAAGGGGAAAGGGCGCCGCAAGGCACACACAGGAAGGAACATGGCGATTGCCATAAGCCACGAATCGGAAATTCACGCATGCGCTCTGGCAACATTGATGTGACAACTATCTATGCGCCCTAGTTGGGGGTCAAAGGGAGGGGGGTTTACTGCACCGGGGATCGGCAGCGGCACGGCGGCCATGTTTAAATCGGACTGGGAAGAGTCAGCGCGATATCGCACAGAAAGATTCATTGGTAAGACGCTGAAAACAGAACTTCCGAGAGAGATTAAACACGTTTATCCAATAGACTATCATTACTTATAGTAATGCTCGAGAATAGACGAAACCCTACGAGCACAACATAATACACCGAGTCTAAATGGCCCAACCGTCGAGTTACCTGTCCCCCTCATCCCCGGAGTGGATCATGACAACCCTGCCCATCATCCGGTCGCCTCCGCCCTCGCCGTTACTATTATATAAGTACCTATGCGTCACGGGCCTTGATAATAATATTCGTAGTAATTATTGAGGGTAAAAAGTTCCTGTTTTGGGGTTTGCTTAAATGGGCTGAGGTTGCTTGGTTTCTTGGACCATTTATACCCGCTTTCTGGCCCTCCCCTTCCTCTCCCCCTCCATCAACGACCTCCTTTGTGAGCACAAGTTTTCTTTTGCAATTTTCCCCAACCCACGCAGACTTTGCTTGTCCCCCTTTATAAGCTCCAAAAGTAAACCATATCACCACAATGTCTCCCACTGCTGTCTCGAACCAGGATGGCGCCGTTCTCGCCGTCAAGTCGGCCCCCGATGTCGCTCCCCTCGATGCCTCCAAGCTCATCTACAACCTCACCAAGACGCCCAAGGCCGTCCCCTCTGAGGCTGAGGCCAACTCAGGCAATGAGACTGTAGCCACTGACCACATGATCACGGCCACGTGGAACGCGTCGACGGGCTGGGGCGCCCCCGAGATCAAGCCGTACGGTCCTCTGAGCCTCGCCCCCACGGCCTCGTGTCTGCACTACGCTACCGAGTGCTTCGAGGGCCTTAAGGCCTACCGCGGCTACGATGGACGTCTGCGCGTCTTTCGCCCGGATTGCAACGCCGACCGCATGCGCATGTCCGCCAGCCGCATCTCCCTTCCCGACTTTGACCCTGCCGAGTTCGTTAAGCTCATCACCGCCATCCTGTCCGTCGATGGCCCCCGCTGGCTGCCTCGCGACGCCCCCGGAAACTTCCTCTACCTCCGTCCCACAATGATCGGTACCCATTCTCAGCTCGGTGTAATGGCTCCCCGCGAGGCCTTGCTCTACATCATACTCACCTACATGCCTCGTCTCGACGCCCCTCCCGGCGGCATGCGTCTCCAGACATCCCCCGGTGACATGGTCCGTGCCTGGGCCGGCGGCTTCGGTTACGCCAAAGTCGGCGCCAACTACGGCCCGTCTCTCCCTGCCACCGCCGAGGCTCGCAAGAATGGTTTCCACCAGATCCTCTGGCTCTACGGTCCCACTGGCGAATGCACAGAGGCCGGCGCCAGCAACTTTTTCACGCTCTGGAAGACCAAGGACGGTCGTAAGGAGCTCATCACCGCTCCCCTTGACGACAAACTTATCTTAGACGGTGTCACCCGTCGCTCCATCATCGAGCTCGTTAAGCAGAGACTCGCCGACGACATTGTCGTCACTGAGCGCAAGTACTCTATCGACGAGGTCATCGAGGCCAGCAACGAAGGCCGCCTCATCGAGGCCTTTGCTGCTGGCACTGCCGTAAGTTGACGAGCCGCAGCCGTTTTGCTCACTTTAGGAAGGAACATCTTGCGATACTAAATTTACCTTGACAGTTCTTTGTCTGCGCCGTTTCGCAGATCCACCACCGTGATATCGACATAAACATCCCCACGGGCGCCAATGATATGGGCGAGGTCACCACGAAGATCAAGGGATGGGTCGGCGACATTATGTACGGCCGTGCTGAGCACGAGTGGGGCGTTGTCATTCCCGAGGAGCAGTAGAGACTGCATTGCATATCTTGTTTATCTTGTCCGTTAAGGCATCGGGAGTAAAATGTTTGATTTCGGCTTAAGACGAAAAACAGAGACCGTCTGCAGGCAGTGCTATGTATTATTTGCTTAGAAGGGGGATAATAGAGCTAACGACATACGCACTGAAAGCTCGATTATTATATTGAACCTCTGGATGTACACACACGTATAGCATTGTAGATACGTATTGCATACAGCTAATGTGAATATTTGATGCCGAGTGTACGCAGGTATATTTGACAGAGCGTCGTCTATCATCAAAATATAACATTGCGGAACATGCTCTGTGTTTCAACCTGTATCTTCTCCATAAATTCCTGGCCTTTGTCAATATCGAATGCCTTACATATGCCAGTAAATAAGGATATATCCTCACCTGATGAATATCGTCAATCAATTGGCACTTGAGCTCGACAATGTGGCGACCCTCATTCTCTAGGTCCCTTTCTTTGATAGCAGACACATCACGCTGCTCCGAACCATCCAGCTGTGAGTAATACTGAGAATCTAGCTGCACCCATGTTCTACGTTCTACCATCAGACACTGGTCCCATTCTTGAGCTAGACGCATGATCATGTCTTTCGACGCTTTGAGACCCTTCTCAAGGCGTGTCAGGTGTTCTGCCACAGTGGCACATGGGTGTTTGTCTGTGGAACATCGCGTCTGGGATAGAGGCCACTCGGCGTTGGAGTACAAACCATCATGTGTCTTCAGAATGGCAGATGACCTGTTGACGAAATAATCAATGCGCTTCTGGACGTCTGCATGTGCCTTCACCAGGTCTTCAACAGCAGAAACATGAATGGTAGATCCTGCCTGGGCAAAGGCGTCTGTCAAGCCGTTAGAGCCGATTTGTTTGTCGCTGTGCTTGACGTACTACTCAGCCCTACTAGGGTGTCGCAAGGCTTGGCTTTCCCAACTGCTGCATGACCTTGCCCTTCTGCTGGAGATGGACGGGCATCAGACATGAAGCCCGCTCGGAAGAGGTCAATCACGTTGGAGGAAAGGGCTTCTGGCTCTGCTTCCAGTGGGGACAGATATTGTGAGCCTGAAGGTTTCACACTCTGGAGGCGGTCGCGGAAGACCATACTGGGAGAGGAACTTTCTTCGTTGGAGTGACCGGGCGCTGGGCTTTGCAGGCGACAGAGAGGGTCGAGGTATGGCTTGGGCGGCATATTGGGATGAGGTACAAAGTAGATAGATCCGTGAAAGGTGAAAACAATGCCAACAGGTACTAGTATACATACTCCGGTTGATGTAAAGTATTTGAGAGCGTATGTGAGGCGGGAAATTGACATTGAATTTCGGTAGGGGGGGGGGGGGGGGSGGGCGTAGATGGGCAATTTCACCCAAGGAAGGAGCAGCTTGTCACGCCAATCAGCGCGCTCCTTCCCTTCCACATTTCGGCGGAAATATGGTGACGTATTGGGCTTAGTTGAAGAAAAAAAGACCAGCATAGCAATGATAGCTCGTAGCAAAGAATGAGCTCTCAAACCTAGGCCACGCTCGGGTATCGATACGAGATTGTTTTCAAAAGGCAAAGACCTATGAAGCGGCACTTTTACTTGGGCTAGAAGCCAAGTTTCTCGTCAATAACAGAGACTATCGTTTCGAAGCTGGCCATGGCGCCATCCCCGACATCACCACAAGCCAGAGGCTTCTCGATTGGCCTTATGACTTCGACCCAACCTTGGTCGCCTCCCCAGTCTTCTTCGAGTGTCTTGATCTGGCGAGCGGTGATGGGGTGTCTCCACATGCAGGTGTTCATAGCGGGAGCCACGACAATCTTCCTCTTCATATTTAGGTTGCCCGTCCCGTCAACGAAGCCGGTCGTATCCCAAGCTCGAACCACTGAGAGGAGCAGCGAGTCGCATATTCCCGTTATCATTTTCGCCATGGAATTGGCGCTCAAAGGCGCAATCACCATGAGGTCGGCCCATTTCCTCAACTCAATGTGTAGGACTGGTGATCCACGAGTCCACGGGGTCGTCCACTCTGAGGCATCATTGTATATAGCGTCGACGTTGCGAAAGCGTGCGATCTCAGCCAGTGACGGCTGCTCGGCCGACTGACCGTCGAGGAAGCGGGCGGCCGATGGTGTGAAGACGAGCCGTATTGAGAGGTTATCCCGCGTCGAGAGAGCTTTGACGATCTGGAAGATTTTGATAGTGGCAACAGAGCCAGTCTGAGAAAATGAGACCCGATGTCAGCTCACAGTTACACGGAACAGAATAAATTTCGTATTTGCGATCAACTCACAGCTGCTAGCAACAAATGACGCTTGCCATCACTGCGTGCTTGAACTACCGAATCGGCCGAGTCATCGCGACCATTTAGCGACATGTTGACCACTTTGAAACTTAAGGGCTTGACCAAGCTGATGCACAGTCGAGAAGTGAAACCGCTGCAGGTGAGTACTCTGGAACAGCATATAGCCACTTGTTTCCATCAACAGCCTTTAAAAGCCAACTTTTTTGACGCGTCGGCAATCGATATTTAAGGGTGGACCGCTCTCCCGAGACCGCTTACTACTGACAGTTTGATTGGTCAGCCACCTTAACTCGTCGCCACAGAAGCTGGATTGCATCACCATTCTTTCTCTAGATCCTTCTCTAGCACTCCTGGGACATTACACACCTCATTGCAACATAAGCTCAGCAGCCATGTTTGCACGCGCCATTTCTTCCGTACGTACAGAACCCCAATCCTGTGTGTCTCTGGCAATAGGTATAGGTATTGACTGGGTTGAGCGATAGGGCCTCTGCCGACAGGCTATGCGCCCAGCCGTCTTTCGCGTCGCGGCCACGAGGGCCCCCGCCCCAGCATTTGTCGCCCGATCGTTCTTGTCGCCCTTCCAGGTGCGTCTCCTTTCCGACGAGACGCGGTCAGCCATAGAAAAGGCCGTTGCCTCAGCCCCCGTCGTGCTGTTCATGAAAGGAACACCCGAGATGCCAGCTTGCGGCTTCTCGCGTGCCGTCATCCAAATTCTCGGCATGCAGGGCGTCGATCCTGCCCGCTTCGCTGCGTTTAACGTCCTCGAGGACGATGAGCTGCGCTCCGGAATCAAGGAGTACTCCGAGTGGCCGACCATTCCTCAGCTATACGTCAACAACGAGTTTGTTGGCGGATGCGACATCCTCGTCTCGATGCACCAGAACGGCGACTTGGCCAAGATGTTCGAAGAGAAGAAGCTCTTAGCTGAAGAGGGAGAGTCGGACAGTTAGGTTACAGGCTCAAACACCGGCTGAAGGCCGAGGTTTGTGTACGATAGCTGGTTGTCGGACGTGGAATAGCCGAGGCACGAAGAAAATATACAATAACAAAAGCCATACTACACCTTGACCTGTGTGCATATACTCTCATATATGCCTATTTGCTAGAAACTGGAGGCTCCATGCTATGCGCATGGTAAAATCTTACAACGGGTACGCAGCACCGTCTGCCCGCATGTCGCTACCAGCTGACCAGAGAGGCGTCCCTTCCACCGGATCCACCGATTGTCTAATGATTTGGCCTCGGCCAAACATGCTTCTCCCTATGCCACTCATTATCTCAACCTTGTGGCCGAGTTTTATGAGCCCATCAACTGTCTCCTGGGACATTCCATCCTCAACGTGCACCGTCCAGTCCATGATTTTGCCCTCATGCATCTTGCCACCGATACATACCCTTGGCGCGTCCAAAGCCTGCTGCGGGTTCAACTTGCCCACAATTTGGCCGAGGAGAACCTGCACATGGCCTTGAGGCTGCATGAACAGACCCATGACGCCAAATGCAGAGTGCAGGGAGCCATCAGAGATGTTGGTTGCCATACCGGGAATGATGGTATGATACGGCCTTTTTCGGGGCTCCAGCCGATTGGGATGGCTCTTGTCAAGAGAGAAGTTGGCTCCACGACTCTGAAGCGTGAACCCACACCCCTCGGGGATGATTCCAGACCCAAACGCTTCGTAATTCGAGTTGATAAAGGAGGCAGCGTTGCCCTCGGAGTCTGTCACAGCAAAGTAGACCGTGTCAGAAGTTTGCAGAGCTGGCGATACAAACTCATGAGGTTTCCCTGGCTCCATTGGCTGTGAGGCCTTTGTCGCGTCGAAAAGTTTTGCCCTCTCAGCGAGATACTGTGGGCTGATCATGGCCTTGACGGGTACCTCTGCAACGTTTGGGTCGGCGACAAACCAGTTTGTATCGGAAAAGGCAATACGCAAGGATTCTATAATGGCATGGAGGTAGGGCGCCGTATTGAAGTCTTCTGGTTTAAATGTAGGGATTTTCCCTTGTTTCTCCAGTTCCTGAATAATGCCCATCGACATGAGAGCCACGATTCCTTGGCCATTTGGCGGATGCTCCCAGAGCTCGATGCCGCCCTGGCTCTCTGGGCTGTCACGTAGCCCTTGGCCGTAGAACTTGATGGAGATGGGGTCCACTGGCTCACTCTTGCTGTCCAGGTGGTGCTTCAGGTCGTCCAGCTCCATATAGCCACCCCTGGCCTTGATCTGCTTGATGATTTCTTCGGCTATACGGCCGGTATAGAAGCCCTCTCTGCCCTCTTCGGCTAGCGTGCGAAACGTCCTGGCTAGGTCGGGGTTCTTCATAATTTCACCGGCGTGCGGAGCCCGGAAACCATCCTTGGCGGATGGATCCCTTTTGAGAAGTTCCCGATAGTTTGGTGATGCTTCGCGGAGGAGCTTCTCGTGCAAGTTCCACTGCGCAATTGTTTCTTGTTAGCATTGTCCACTACTTTTATTTGGTGATGATTTTCGGTCTTCATATTCATACAGAGTGGCTCGTGATCTCGGATACCGGGAACCCCTTCTCAGCCAGTTTGATGGCGGGCGCCAGGATATCACTCATGGACACCTTGCCGCTCCCAAAATTCTGGTGAGTATCGAACCAGCCAGCCGGGGCCCCGGGAACTGTGATGGCATGAATGCTGGTCATTGGGATATTTCCGCGATCGCCATCCTTGAGCCCTAGAGCGCCGCGGACCTTGTCAATGTCGTACTTGGCTCCACTCCTGCCCGATCCGTTCATGGCATTGACCTTTTTCTGTTTGGCATCCCAAAAGAGCAGAAAGACGTCGCCACCAATTCCTGTGGAACAGGGCTCCGTGACATTTAGCGCAGCCGCTGCACATCCTCCTTTGTTAACACTGAATTGCTCATTTTCTTCTCTAATTGGAGTGCAAGTAGCAGAAGACTTACCGACCGCAACAGCTGCATCCTGTGGTGAGGGTGGCGGTCAGCACGGAACTTGGACAGAGCAACAATGTTGGCTTACAGCTGCGTTTCCACCAGCGCGCAGAATCCCTAGTCCGCATTGTGCCGCAAGTGGCTGCGAACAGGAGACAATCCCTTCTGTACTGTGTACAACGCTTCGACGAGAGGGAAACCGTATGTAGCTGGCTGATGCCGGCGGGAAAATAGATGAGCTAGGGAGGGGCATGATGGGCAGCAGAATATTGAATAGACGGTGCAGAAGAAGCAATATCACTAGTTGTCGTGGCGCAACTGATGGATCGATCCATGTATGGCATATAGGCGCACAGCTTTACTTGTGTACCGGAAAGGTTGATCATCAAGACGATGTAGTGTAGTCAGGAGGAATGGGAACACGTTACAGACCGAGGATCGCGCAATTGGAAATGCCCAGATACCAGGTGAGATCTTTACTAGACGGTTTCGCAGAGTGGTCTAGCAGCGGGGGAATGGAGCTAGGAAAGGAGGGGAGGCGGGGCGAGATGGGTACGGACGTAGCGGGGTTGTGTACATTTGTATATACTATTACTTTATGGGCGACCGATCCCGATATCGCACGGCATTTGAACATACCAAAACTTGCGTATCTTCGTACCGAAAGTAGGTAGTAGACGTGTTCTATGCAAAACAATATCCGGATCAAGTCTGCAATTCCAGGACTAGCCAAGGTACTTAGTAGTGTAGAGATTTCTCACACGACGGAGGGAAACGAACACAGAAAGAAGCAAATGGGAAATAATTAAAAGAGAGATTGTTAGCAAGACAATAAGAGAACAGAGGAGTTTCTACATGACACTATAACATATCCCCCCACACCTTTCCGGATTGTTTACATTGCGGTTAGAGTCACTTACAGAGGGGTGCTTAAAACAAAAGATATACGACATTTACCATGTACATAGTTCCATTAAAATCTGCATGTGATATAGAGCACAACGTTTATGTCTCACTTATGACCTCACCCGACTCTTGTTTTGCACCCATCGCGCCGGCTATATGAAATTGAAATTGAGCAGTCTCATAGCTTGGCGATGATAGCCAGGGCCTGGACCACCTCTGCAGCGCCGTGTTCTCCTGAACAAAGAGCGCCTTCCATATAGCCCTTCCACTCCGTAGCATATTCTGTCCCCACAAAATGGTAGTTTCCCACGGGCTTCCCGCAGTATGTCTCGTAGGCATCACGCTGGCCTATAGCTGTTATAGGCGCCAAGGCACCCTTGCTGTACACCTCTTCTTTCCATATTTGAATAAAGAAGTCAGAGGGCTGGTAGACATGCTCGATACTAGCCGCTTTTTCACTGATGTCGCCATAGTACACCTCAGCAATCTGGTCAAGAACGACCTGACGGCGGTCATTGTGACTGAGACCCTGCCATTTAGTGCCTTCGTCTCCATTGACAAAACACGTGAGGGCATAGTAGTCAATGCTGTCAACGCTTGTATCGCGGGCAACTACCACAGGACCCTTGTAACTGAGCAGGAATCCGTTGAATCCCAGGTCACGCCACCATGGCTTGTCGTAACAGACAATGGCTTTATTGTAGTGGCCGAGAGTGGTGCAGTTGACGATGGAGCATATAGACTCAGGAAGAGGGGGTGCGATGGAAAGACTCTTGTACATGGTGCTCGGGAGGGAGATGATGCATCGATGGGCCTGGAATGTCTGACCTGCTGCCGTCGTCACCGTGACATGGCTCCTGTAATCATGCGCAGAGACCACGGGGGAGGACAGATGAATGTTGTCACGACCGACAAGGTTGGCCAGGCCATTGGCGATGTCTTGTGTTCCTGAACGATAATGTGGAGGAGATAGGCCACACATGTCAGCACGGACCGAAATTGTCATAATCTTAAAGAGGGTTGTCATTCCAGGGGAAGGGGGGAGCAATAGATTTACCTGTAGTGATGCGCATATGGTTTCCTCCCGACTCGTCGTCCGCACGGACCGCGAGTAGACCATGGTTTCTGCGGCAGTATTCGATGAACCAAGCAGCTGACTGCTGCTTGGACTCGACACCGTGCATGACGCGAGACCATAAGTTGACCATCTTGACCGTTGTTGGACCGGCTCCCAACTTGCGGACATATTCGTCCAGACTCACGCTATCCTCATCTTGTCCTGGGCACGTGGTCTTGAGAGTTGCGGACTGTATGTGGTCACGAACAAACTCGAGGTTCTTCTTCTCTTCCGCAGTGAACTGTACATATATAGTAACGTAAGCAGATAGGCTAAACCTGAACCGAGGCAGCGTCCGAGGAGATATCGGGAAAAGTTGCAGCTTACTTCAGGTGTAATTCCAAAAGGATACACGATGCGATCTCCTGACTCTTTCTGCATGACGGCCTTGCCGTCAAGTCGCTGCCGCACAGTTTCGAGGCCAAACTGCTGAACATACGCGTTGATACGGCTTTGCAGCCTATCGTTGATCCAGGCAGCCCCTAGATCGGCGTAGCCACGACCAGAGCGCAATGGCACACTCCACACCTTTCCACCCACGCGATCGCGCGCCTCAATCACGGAGACGGAGAGGCCTGCTAGCTGGCAGGAACGTGCCGCCTGGAGGCCACTCAGACCTGCGCCGATAACGACTACGTCATGCATGATCTGATTCAAAGTTTTGCATGAGTTTTGAACTGTGAAACTGGCATCTAATATCTGAAGAGTTTGTAGATTGCTTGTTTTTATATCCGTTTTAGCATGAACTTGCGGGGAGGAGCGGCAGTCGGCACCAGGGTACTTGTACGGAATACGAGCTTACGTTGTGGCGCCGACTGTTCCCAAACAGGCAATTTACGAACGGGTCCTGCATCCTGGGGGGTCGGCTTCCCACCCGAGCCGCCTCTATCGGTCGGATCTCTAACCTTAGAAGCGACGTCAATTGACGTTCTTATCTGTCAGGATTCAGAATTCGGGTGAATTTTTGACAAAAATTTCGGAATCAATGGCTTAGTCCATGCATGAAAGAATCATATTCACAGCAGCTGAATTCTGGAGCTGCCTTGTTCTCAACTTTTTTCCTGGGTTATAATATCCCATCATCTTGATTCCGATCTCAATATTTCAGTATTTCGGCATTGACTGTCACCATAACGACGACAACCTTCTCACGTATACTTCCTACACCAAACGCCAACGGGCGCGCAATGCCTCCACCTTTCACGTCCAACCTGTCTGATGCTTCTCTCTTTGTTGAGGGCTCCTACATCAACGGCATATGGGTACAATCAAAGAGCGGACAAACCTTTGACGTCTGCAACCCTGCAACTCAAGAAGTCATCGGTTCGCCACCGGAGTCGACGGTTGATGACCTACAGTCTGCCATAGATGCGGCCGAAGATGCTTTCCCACTGTGGAGGGCGCGGTCTGGGCGCACGCGTGCGCGGATCCTGCGGCGCCTATTTGACCTCATTACCGAAAATAAGGTCGATATTGGCAAGATTATCACCGCTGAAAACGGCAAAGCTAAGGCCGACGCTGAAGGCGAAGCCCTATTCTCCGCGAGCTTCTTTGAGTGGTTTTCGGAGGAAGCCCCTCGGATCTATGGAGACGTTGTACCTCACTCAAATCCCACGCATCGGACGCGTACTATAAAACAGCCCATTGGCGTTGTCGGCCTGATCACTCCGTGGAACTTCCCCCTCGCAATGGGCGCTCGCAAGATTGGAGCTGCACTGGCAGCCGGATGTACCGTCGTTCTCAAGTCAGATGGCCTGACACCTTTCTCGTCCAACGTGCTTGCAGTACTAGCAGAGCGGGCGGGCGTTCCGAAGGGCGTTCTGAACGTAGTGACGTCTCTTAGAACTACGCCGAGGCTTGGTCAGAAGCTATGCACGTCGGGGGTGGTGAAGAAGATCTCATTCACGGGGTCTACAGGTGTGGGAAAAATCCTGATCCAGCAGTCCAGCAGTACATTGAAGAAGCTCAGTCTAGAGCTTGGCGGCAACGCACCTCTTATCATTTTTAACGATGCCGACGTGGAGACCGCAGTTTCTAGCACTATCGCTAGCAAATTCAAAGTCACTGGACAGACATGCGTTTGCGCCAACCGTATATTTGTTCAAGACGATATATACGGCCACTTCACTGAGCGACTGGTAGAAGAAGTGGCCAAATTTCGCGTCGGCCCTGGTTCCGAAGCTGGAGTCACCCACGGGCCTCTTACCACCGCCATCGCTAAGGTCCACGATCATGTGAATGATGCTGTGACCAAGGAAGCCACAATTCTTCTCGGGGGAAAACCTCTCCCTCATCTTGGCCCTAACTTTTACTCGCTCACCATTCTGGGAGACGTCAACGACTCAATGAAGGTCATGAAGGAGGAGACTTTCGGTCCGCTCGCAGCTATTTCCCGATTCAAAACAGAAGATGAAGTTGTTGCACGTGCGAACTCAGTGGATGTTGGCCTAGCCTCATATGTCATCACCTCAAGCTTGCCTCGATACTACCGTATCTGCGAGCGCTTGGAGTTTGGCATGGTGGCAGTCAACACCGGCGTTATTTCAGACGTGGCAGCTCCGTACGTCCCATCTTATTGCAGACATTCCCCCAAATCACAATATCTAATAATTTTCATTCCACACTTCACTTAGTATTTCACATGGATTATACTAACCCTTGTTCCCCTTATAGTTTCGGTGGCATCAAGGCATCGGGGTTTGGCCGCGAAGGTAGTAAGTATGGATGTGACGAGTACCTAGTGTACAAGACCATCGTCACCGGGGGCATCGATACTAAATTTACTAGTAGCCTCTAGATATATTACTATATATATATATATATATATATATAACCTCATGGGTAGGAAACAACACGGGAAGGCATTCCAACGCCATGTTTGATGAAATCCACATAACGTCTTACACAAAGAGGTACTTCTCAAGCTTAAACTATTGTGGTTACGGCGTAACAGAATGTATGATTCTTAAATACATACATACAGCTTTCCCACAGATTTTCCAGTGTCAGTAGTAGAACCCACCAGGGAGTTTCCATTCTCTAGTCATAGGATATATTTACCACTGTGAGTTTATTATTCCCGAAAATGGGACGTCCAAATCTACCATGGGACTTATTGTTCATGTCAGGACCATATTGAGTCTGATACGTGCACATTGTTATCACGATTTGAATACTGCATTGTTGAATATTGACATCACACTAACTAGACGCCGGATGATGAGGAGGAGGCCCTAGCGAACTTCGGAAGAGACTCCATCCAGGCGACTGGTAACAAGTAATTGATAACCACCACATGTTTTCCCCATAATATCCCGCAAGGCCCTGGCGTCTCACCCAACGTATCAGCGATGTAGAGAAAAGAATCAATGCCCAAAGTATGGGAAGATGGCGACGGTTCAGGCTCTCCTTGACCCATGTGACGGGTGGTTGAAGCTATCCTCTAATGAACTAGGGACAGGTGATAAGTAGGCGGGGCATTGCAGGCTTTGAGAGAATAGAAGCGATAAGACGTAAACTTTACATCCTAGGATATGCGCTTTTAGAATATGAGTTCTCAAAATGGAAAGAAATTACACATTATGCATGAGGACCGTCCCCGTGTTAGTGAATGGTTATTCCGTGGGTCTAGATGTGACACAAACGACGTCGGGTTCTCATCCGACGCCACATGATTCCTGTTGACGGACTCCCTAATGGCAAAGATAGGCGGAAACCTGTCTATTGAGCCTTTTTCCATTCTACAGCCTGTCATCGAGACTACACACCTCAGGGGTATCTTCCGCCGAGCATTTGGGACTTTGTAGCGTTGAGGAAGCGTACTGTTTTCAGGATAATACTGTTATCGAGTTTAGCTAGAAGGAAGCAACGTTGAGGTGTACGGGGCACTAATGATATCGATGGAAAACAGCTCTCGTAGACTGATTCTAAGTCTATATATATTACCTCAAGGTTCCTCGCCTGTCCAAGAAGCGTTCCTACGATATTTGTTATCAACCTCAACTACCATACTTACTTCACCTTCTTGTCGCAATCAGCTCATCATATTTCTGGAAGTATCAATAGCTTCACGACGAAAATTTCTTTTTCCTACCCCCTAAAATCATCTGTACCAATATAAAACCGACAGATCTGAGCACGATGCCTGGTGCGATCACATCTAAGAATGCCTTTATCCCCCAGTGGCCTCCGGCCCCAAAGGTCGTTGGCCCTACTACCAAGTCAGCTACACGTCCGACCAACCAACTCCCCAAATATTTGTCCGAAGAGTCTAAAAAAACGGCCCGTGTGAACTTTGACAAGGCCAAGCACATTGCCTTTGAGCCCCCCAAGAACATTGTCAAGATGAAGGACATCGGGCTCGAAGGCCACGGAATCTCCCCCAATGCCGTCTCTGATCCATTTCCACTATTCAGCAAGGAGGCTGTTGAGCAGATACGAGCTGAAGTTTTCAGTGAGGAGGTTCTAAAAGATCGACAATTCTGCTCAACTTTCAACAAGAACATGATCCGCGGCATTGGTCCAGCGTAAGTGGTGCCCCGATTAGATATTGAATGACTCAAGCTAACATATACATTAGTCGCGCACCGTTTACCTACAGTGCTTGGAAGTCCCCAGACCTTATCTCCAGCATCTCACAGGTAGCTGGGATAGACCTGGTACCTTCCATGGATTTCGAGATTGCCAACATCAACATCTCGATTGGGGAGGGCAATGAACAAGCCACTGTCACCATGGTGGACCACAGCCCACTTGGCGACGGCCTTTCTGCTGTAGCATGGCACTACGACAGCTTCCCCTTTGTTTGTGTTGTGATGCTTTCTGACTGCGCCAATATGATCGGTGGCGAGACTGCGATACGGACTCCCGGGGGAGACATCCTCAAAGTCAGGGGTCCGAGCATGGTAAGAGGTGCCCCTTCCAAACGTGAGTGTCCCAATACTGACTGACAAACTTCAGGGAACGGCAGTTGTTCTTCAGGGACGATATATTGAGCATCAAGCACTCAAGGCTTTTGGTGGAAAGGAGCGTATTAGCATGGTGACATGCTTCCGCCCCAGGAGTCCAGCTGTGCGGGACGAAACCGTCCTGGTCGGCGTCCGCGCAATCAGTTACAAGTCAGAACTTTACACTCAGTACACCGAGTATCGTCTTGAACTTCTAGAGGAGCAGATCCGCGCTAAGCAACGCGAGGAGCGCGATCGCCAGGTTGCTAAGAAGGATTTTGATATCCAGGGCATGAGAGCCTGGCTCGCTGAGCGCAGGGACTTTATTGACTCTATGATAACTGAAATTGAGGAGGAAGATGAATAAGTATTTTGCAAGCTAATACATGATCGAACCATTTTATCTATCTGCTTATTTGTTCTCTTGCGTCGTAAATTAATACAGGTACAGAGTAGTTTAGGAGAATGAGTAGATGTGATACCAGTTGAGCTCCACTTTTCCAGATGAGGCATGGGCGTACAATTTATCGTGTATCACCCCGCTGTTGCCTGGCAGGGATCGGGTTTGTGTTGCTATTGACATCTAATGCGCGTACCTTTATCCTCCTGGGAAGGCCGGCTGATAAGACGTACACGGCGGGCCTGGCAATGCAGTCGTAGCGCCCGCAGCTTGGATATCTTTTCGAGTTTGGGCTGCGATGCATTACAGCTATCACTTAATTATATGACCCGAAGATCCAGGGTTCCGATTTCCCAATCATTATCGGGACCCAAAAAAAAAACCCCCCAATGTCACACTCGGAAGCCCACCGTTTTCAAGAATGTGATGGGTCCTCCACTGCCCGTGTTAGCGCCCACTGACAGGCGATTACTCTTTCTCAAGCTCTATCTGCTGAACGCCATCAAGGATTTATGGACTATACTGAAGTGCTAGAAAAACAAGAAGGGGTGTGAGCCTAGCATTTCCCGTTCATCAAATTTATCCCGGATACTCATTAAAGAGAAATCGAAGATATCTTGTCCAACCCCGTGATATGACTGTGCTCTTCTCACACTACAGAGCCTTTAAACTAGATATTGGGCCTTCTGTTTTGATATATTGGAATTTGTAGACCAGGAAGGAGCACAGCTATGGGACTCTATCAATGGCCTAATACCTCCGGGAAACCCAAACCCGTAAGCCACTCCAGTCCAGAAACCTTGCGCATCCTCTATATGGGACTGTCCATAGGCATTGATAATTTTGGCCTCCCGGATGAGATCACACTCAGAGGACTGGTAAGTCTCAGTACTTTGGTAGAACTTCCAACCAAGAAGGAAAAGAAGAAGGGTTCGACGACCACCATGATGATCTAGTGAGTAAAATGTGCCCGTGCTCTACTTCCAAGAACGAACATGGAGTATTCACGGACAAATACTCCAGTAACGTAGGAAACCAGAGCAGTGTAGGCACTGCAAGGCTGAAGTCTTCCAAAAGATGGGAATTACTTGCGATTCATGCCTCGAATCGTGGCAACCCAATGTTAGTTGTCAGACCTATCAGGGGATTGTACGAGAGTGGGGTGAAAGGGTCTAAAAGGTCGTAGTCATCTTCCTCAATTCTATCGAGGAAGGAACAGCGTTTGATATATATATATATATATATTACTAGTGCCTTTGCTACTATATTGACTCCACTCTTACTTATAGATATTGGGCTTGAGTCTGGTCAGCTTATTCTTCCTGGTGGTTGTCCATAGGCTGTGTCAATACTGGAGCGTCGCCACCGGGACTTGGTGTGCACGTACAAAAGGTGGGGTAAGGTCAAATTTGATGTCGTGTGAGGGGCGTAACGCAGGACTTTATGGTATAGGATGCATTGTGTACTTGACAGCACTTCCAACTAATTTGATATATGGGGCAAAACGACACGTCGAACCAATGGCGAATTCCGATTAAGTTAAATACATGGGCTTTGCTGGAATTCAACGTGAGTGTGAAGATACACAACCTTCCCAGGTGTTATCTCTGTGGTTTCGTAGATCAAGTTACGACCGATCCTCTAGTCTTCATGACGCCCGAATTCCCTTACGGAGTAGTATTATGGAGTAGTATTATGAGGTATCAAGGCTAGTAGGTTAGTAAATAAATGGCAGCACGGTATTGCCAGTTAGCCCGGCCAGCGTCTACATGTAGGGTTGCGCCTCGGTAGCTGCATACCTGTGATATGGCACTGCTACTAGTTGGATGGTGCAGATAATGTTAGGTACCAAACTCAAGATTGGCGGGGTTCTACATAAGATATCACTATCTTCCATCCATTGTACAGAGCAGCACGGCAACTATCCACGGCGATTACATCTTCACGCCCAGGACTTCGTATGCCCATCCACATTGCAGACGGGGCCATTTATCCTCTCAAGCACAGCGGGATAGTATGCCTACGCAACAACTACTCAAGAACGGCTAGGATGGATGCGTCGACCCCAGGCCTGCAACGTCCAGGTCCAAACCGCGACGCCACGCAAGTACGAAAAAGACAACGTAGGACAGCCAACGCGTGAGTGTCTCTGGCCCTATATCGTCCCAAACTGATTCGCTTTCGAATGCTCACAAACGCCTCGGGCATCGGATTAGCTGTTTCTCCTGCAGGCAAAGCAAAATCAAATGCTCCGGCACTGATCCATGTACTAACTGTCAGCGGCGTTTCATCACATGTCGCTTCGACGAAGGCACAAAGGTCATGGTGACTGAAAGGTGCGGCCCTCACAGCAATCCCGGAGTAACTGCGTGCCCACTTCACAATGATACATCCGTCCCCGTACACTCTACATGCCCAGTGCTACCTCCCCTCGCTCACGCTTCAGACAGATATTTAAAAGATTTGCAGCGACAGGCCGGCCTCGCCTCAGACCAGAACTTTCACCGTGTCCCTGGTTTCCGTGGTCCCGCCAGTAGCCATGACTCTTGCCCTACATCACAACCCCAGCAGTCTCTGCCACCTAGCCAAGGGGGGGATAATACCAGGACCTGTCCATCACAAGATGGAAGGACAGAAGACCCGGGTGAGACATCTGTCTATTATTGTCTATGTGACCGCTCCATAGTATCCGAGGGCGCCTGAGATACATATCCCGTGTGCGATGGCTGGTTAATTAATGAGCATAGCAGGACCACAAAATCGCCCTGCGATAAGCAGTGTTGGCACTCACAACATATGGACCAGTCCATTCTCATTTCCCTCGGCCACCGTCAAGAATTACCAAAGAAACAGCCGAAGCTGGAGTATGTACCAGAGATAGTCATTAACATACCAGTTGGGTTAGAAAGACTCTTATCTGCTCTCACTCTAACACGAATTTCACAGTATGGCTTGCTCCGTCCTCAACCTGGTCTTTTACGGCAAGGTTGATCCTTCTCCTTGAAAACAAGCTGAGTCCAGATTCCGAGCCAGAAAATTTACCATCTATAAGCCTTCGCGGGGAAGAGGTTTATACTCTCCAATTCAACACTTCCGCAGGGATTTCGGAGTCTAGTGAGGTGTCCGATTTCAGTGGATTGCCTTCGGTAGACTACGCGTTTTACCTGTTCCGCACCGTACGTTTCCATCTTGGGCAAGATTACCATTTGATTGAAGACGAAGATTTCGAGGAGAGTGTTCGCGAGTTTTACTACGGTAATGCAACCCAAAAGGTTGCATACTCTAGACTGTGGTTTGTTCAGTTCCTCATTGTCCTCGCTTTTGGCCATGCATTTCTTCTTTCCACTAAGGGCTGTGAAGCTCCTGGGTCCAAATTCTTCATTCGCGCTATGTCATTGATGCCTAGCCATGGATCCCTATGGAAAGACAGTCTGCTGGCGATTCAAGTATCCGCCCTGGCTGGGTTGTATCTGTATTCAGTGGATAACAGGGAGCCAGCCCATATTTACGTACGTCAAGTACCCAACACCTCCTCATCAAAAGCGGTTCACATAGAGCTGACCACCTTGACTTTGGTAGCTTGGCCAAGCTATCCGCATCGCACAACTTGAAGGGTTGCACACCCAGCTTCCTGAAAGGGAACTCGGAACGGACGTGGTTCTAAGGTGTCGAAAGATTTGGGCAACCCTTTACATCATGGACATGCACTTCTCCTCCTCTCTAGGGGTGCCAATGATCATCCGCGATGACGACATTAACGATATCCTCACTGCGCATAATCTCACATCCCCGAGTCAATCTGTCAGTCCGACACTCTATCTTCATGTTCAGCTTTCGCGACTACATTCGTATATATTGAGTGGTTAGTATCAATTCGGAAGCTTTTTCTATTCAAGCAAGTGCTTTGGGTTCATTTTAGCCTAACCGTTGATCTGGTCACTGCATGGCAGCCATCTACAAGCAGACAAAGACACCTCTGGATTCCTTTCTAGGGACTACTAGGGAGATTCTTCAACATCTTGCTGAAAGCGCAAGAGAAATCGAACATATTGTCAGCTCGACAGTAAACAGCCCGTTGGATAGCATGTCAAAGGAGACGAGGCACATAGCTCTGTTATATCACCAGGTAAGTTTCAATGTGTATTGTCAATGCCTGGGAGTTCTCTAACAACAAACCCAAAAATTTCGTGATAGTGCGTAATCAGAGCGACGAGACCACTCCTATTGTCTGTACTCAGGGAGAGACTTGATAACCTCGATAAACCACAGGACTGGGAGGATTGGAAAGCTTTCATCTCTACAACAAAGCCACTAATCACTACAGGGATCAAGTCAGCTTTGAAATCTATTGAGATACTATCTGGTGACGTAGGGAGTTTTCTTGGTATGCCATCATCTCTTTTCTCGAGTCTATTGTTGATTCTGATAGATTATGGAAATAATCCTGTTCTCAAGAACTTCAATCGGCTGATGTATTGAGGGAACACTTAGAGATGTTTCTACCATTTGATCTCGAATTCAGCTTCGCAGCTGCCTTACATCTCGCCATGGCAAACGTTCTTTTCCCCAATGCGGACGAGCACAGTCAGACCTACTTTTCCAAAGCTTGTGATATCTTGGAGGAAATGACAGAAAGGGGCAATAGACTTGCCGGCGCACGCAACAAGGAACTTGAGCATCTGAGCACTCTCTTCTCTAAGCTTTTAGAGAGAGCGGAGACAAGGGGGTTTAATACTCTGACGTTCAATCCAGCGTTACAAGCAACGAACGAGGTCCCAGAAAATTCGAGTACGACACAGGACTGTACCATCGAAGACAGCGGCTCCACCGCGATGAACGAAGATGCATTTGGCCGTACATCCGCAAGCTTTGGTGATGCACCTGCTCCAGTGCGAGACTTCGGTGTACGAAACCCACAAAGCTTTCCCCAAAGCCAAGAACCTTCGCTCGACGTCGGACAAGACATTCTAGCTAGTATTGGTATCTCATCTTACGACTTCTTTGAGATAATAGATCAGATACAACCTGGTGATAATATATTTGACATGGAGGCCTAGGGGTTTAGGGACTTCAATGATTCAATATACGTATCCTGTAAGCAGCCTACTAGACGCTTTGCCAAGACAGTGTCCGGTCTGTTTGCTGCCGGCGCTACTCTTTATTCTAATGTGTTATGATGCCTGGTTGGCCCTATGTTAGGGGACTTGTCAGAAGTAATAGAGAAAGTGATGAAGTCTTGCAGTCAAGAGACAAAAATATATTCAAGGCCAACTTTAAGGTCAAAATTTATATTCATTCATCTCTATCCTATTTCTTTCTAGTAGCTTCTTAGCTACCTCTTTATAGTTCTTCCCGCATCTTATCTCCAATTCCTATATCGTGCTTGTGATAATCTTTCTACTTCCTTAAACCTCGATTGAATCTTTCTTAATGATCTCCTAGTGTTATTCTTATGTATACTGATGTCATTCTTAGTTGTGGCTTGCTCTGGCTTGACACTTCCCTATCTGTCCTTTGTTCTTTGTCAGCACTTAACACTACAACCAGACTAATATATTTAAATTGAAATTTCGTTTAGAATTATAAAAGGTCTAATAAAGGAAAAGGACGAAGATAATAAAAAGGTCATAGTATATCATCACATAGCTTAGGTAAGCGGGATTCGACTATAAAACCAAGAACCTTAACACTACACAACACCTAACCTACCTTTATATATCAGTTAGTAGTGTTTGTAGTGCTTGTTTATATATGAACCTTACATTATCTAACGATCTCCTAATATCTCCTTACCAACTGATAACTTCGCTATTCTACTTATATAGTCTTGCTCTTTTGTCGATCTTAACAGTGTTATATCTAACACCGTCCCTGCTAAATTGTTACGGGACGAGCTCTGCTTTCCCGACCACTACAATGGTGGAAAGGTATGACCTAGGACTAAGAAAAGAACACCTAGAATCTTCCTTTAGGGATTCTTTGTTATGAGTTTCTCGTGGGTTTATAGTAAGGAAGTAAGGCAGACGTTTAATGTGTCATACTTTTTACTGTGTATTTCATCTATAGTTTAGGTAAATAGGATTCGACTATAATAACGTCGGAGCCGTCCCCCCTGACATAGACTTTTTCCACTCTAGAATGAATCACAGTATAGTAAGTCTCTTCTTCGAGTTACCATTCCTTCAACCCAATAGGCCCCGTGCATGTCCAATGCTTGTGGTTCAATCTATTGTTTTCGACCTCGTCGGCGATGGCGACGGCCATGTCCTCGTTGTAGATACCTCCGTGAATGCCGTCTTCTGCAGACCCGCACGCGTCATCCACATGTACTTCATAGTTCCCAGTACGGATGCCTAGGTTGACTTATAGTCAGTTTCAAGGTGATAGAGACATTATGGATGCTGCAAGAGAAAGAGGAAACTCACCCTTGTCGCGTAACTGCCAAGGAGGAGATAGAAAGCTCCACGGGGTATCTCTCACGCCCTCCCACATAGTCAAGGCCATGCGAGAGCACATGATCAGGCCGATGGTGTAGGGATCAGTCAATTTATCTTCCGCTGTGCGCAAAAAGTAATTGGCCAGCGGCCGGCTGAGCCACGAGATCCCTTTCCAAACGCGTTGCCGTTAGTAAATCCGACCAGGATGTGAAGGTGGTTTTCACTTACAACCGGGATTCTGACGAGTCGACCTTGCCCACTTGAAGAGACGGATGAAGGTGGCGAGTCCTCGCTGTGAATGATCGAACATGCGCGCTGCCATATACTCCAGGTGGACATCGGGCCATTGATACCTAGAGAAACCCGTCAGCCATCATCTCCCGACACCATCTAAGATGCATCGAACTTACCAATGATGGAATGCAAACAATTTATCGTCACATAGTTGTACCCCGTTCTTGTAGTACAGAGAGCCTGCACCTCCTAGACCGAAGTTGGAATGTTAGCAAGGGTTGCGACCAAATTCCGCTGCGCTGGTGAGATACTAACCAATGATGATGAATGGACCACGGAAGGAGGACTTCAGTATTGCCATTTTGATGTTACCGTGGCCTTCCACCCCAAGTCGGTAGACATCCTTCAGGTCATTTAGAGGTGGTCCGAACGCGGACACGACGGCGTCGAATCCTCCTTCGGAAAGAACAGAACTGAATGTCGCGGTGTCACTGAAATCAACCGCGATTGAGCTGTAGTCGCCGGTCTTAGGCCACGTACTAGGTGGCGACCGGGATATGCCGACAACCGAATGGTTTCGAGACAAAAGCTCATCGACGACACATTGTCCGCACTGCCCTTTGGGTCCAAGGACGCCGACCTTGAGAGGTTTAGACATGATGCAATGTGAAAGTTCTTCGTCCTAGTCAGTTTCACTTAGGAGGATCAGAAAGAATTAAGGTGGAGGGAGCAAATTCCATGACTTACCGGCGAATGGGTTTGATTTAAAGTAAAGGTGAGTCCTAAATCCGACAGCCTATCTGGAGTTACGACTGTACGTCTCCATGGTCAACGGTCTCCCCTTAATTTTGTACTCGTAACAAGCCCCGCTGGGGTTGGATAGGTCTCGCCATTTGACCATCAGCTACGGCGTAATATGCCGCTTAGATCGGCAGTCGAATGCCAGACTTAGTTAGGGCGGGGCACGGACGGGAGTTGTTTCCCGGACTGTTCTCGCTAACCATAATAGTCCGTCCTCCCGTCAATTCACTCGTCATGTATCATGGTCGTCGGCACCATACAAACAAGATGGCATAATTCCAAGGATGATTTCCGACGACTAGTCTCGACCGACCAGAGACCATGGTTCTCAGGGGATATTTAGGAAAGGTACTGTTACCCTAAGCAACAGTAAAGAAAAAGAACCAGTCATTATTAGTCCTGATACGTGGGCCTCTTAATGCCAAAATAATAAGGCGGTATATAGCTCTCAGCTACAATCAAAGAAAATCCGTGATGGGAAAAAGAAAGCTATGGAATATTGAGTTCATTCTAGCCATAGGGTACATAGTATTAAGACCGTGGATCCTCCAGCCACAGGGCATTCTTATTGCCCTCATACATTTCATCTAGGGTTGCCCGGTCAAAAAGCTCAAAAAGCCCAGGCATCAACGATGCGGCATCCACCTTCTTCTGCTCGATATCGAAGACTAGTGCTACGTGACCGGCACGGCCAGGGACCATCCAATGAACAAGATACAAACCGGTGCGGACCTCGCGCTGTCGATATGGAACCCCAATGTAGCGAGTCCCGTCGGGTTGACGAGGCACTGAAAAGTACACGTGTTTTTCGTCAAAGCTGATGCGATATTGCAGACCCGACGGGTAACTGTACGAGAATGTACGGCCGACCATACCCTGAGTCTCGGGTCCACCGATCCTGTCCGGAGGGTGCGGCGGCTGTCACCGGGGATATGCCTTTAGTATCATCCTCTGATATCTGGGAGGGAAGCGTACGGCATGGAAAACTCACCTCGGGAACATCAGTGATTGTGTTCTTCTCTGGAATCATTGTTGGGGGGCCTGCCACTGATGATGAGACTATAGTGAATATGGCGAGACGGTAGGAGGCTATCTTTCGTGGGCTGGTCTCGAACTGTTCTTAAAATGTCGGAAAGAAAGACTCGCTGTTCTATGATCAAAGCGGATGAGGCGATATTCACGTACATATATATGTGCAGGTCTGCCAGAGGATCCGCATGAAGACAGAGACTAGACGGGGCCGAACAAGCTGAGATACCGCAACGCTATTTGCGTTCTCGGCGGATTTGGGCGCCAGGGGGTTAGGGTCACATTGGTGGCCAGCACCATCTTTAATGGTGCTAGGTTGCCCGAGATCCAATAAAGTGGGTGTGGCACGAGTAATTTTTCCAGTAATTATGTTCTTGACACATGTTCGGAGTGGATGAGGCCTTACGGTTCAAATCCCTGGATGTCCGAACTATTTGTCCCGACTCGGTTTGCACGCAGCCACCCTGAAATGAGCTCGGATGCTATATTGATCGAGGCGGTGTGATGCAGCTAAAACCGTATTTCCGTGCAGCAGATATGTCGCGTGAGGTGCGAGGGTATCTATATCCGCGTCGGCCTACGTCCAAGCGGGGCAGGGGAGGTCTCTTCCAACCAGCCGCAAGTATTCTGACATTGCGTGTACAGTTAGACTTGCGTTACAGGTTAGATTCTTATTGATGTCAGGGCAATTGATCTCCCTACTGGTTCACTGCTTTTCTACAAGTACCATCAAAGTCACCTCCCCCCCGCACCAAGAATATGACGTATCAGTATTGGAGCGAGCTTCTTCTCTTCTCTCTATTTTGAATGTAACATGCATTGGGACAAGATTTCTGTGCTCACACCAGTGGAACCTTCACAACGTTCGTTTCGTATAGACCGTAACCGTTTCAGTACTCCTAGCTACAGTAGCTGGGATGTGACCTTACCTGTACCATTGCTGTAAGCAGCGTTCAAGCATGCTCGCCCCGGTCGATCAGGTATACATAGTTCGGATCATCTCGAAACTATCGGGCATTTGCAATGCATAAAAATCTCAGGCTTGCAGCCTGCTACCGGTTGCATGTACGATACGATCTCTCGTCAATGTCATTAAATAAATTATGGATCGTTACCTTCGCTTCAATGGTAGCAAGTGCCACGATCAGTGTCCCAGCCAGAGTACATGAGCTTCTATGTATTATTTATATTCCCGAGAACCTGATCTGAAGAGCCGCAATTAGCCTGATACAAAAGGTGGATTGTACGAGATGAAACCACTCAATCGTTAAGCGGATGACGTACGCCCAGTTTTCCTAATGTTAGGGTTCGGCATTACTTTGAAAGCCCCGGTTTTAGCCGTGTCTGCTCCAGTGTTATCGGACTATTATGTAATATCTATGTACAGTAATCCCTGGAAAGAGGCCACTCGAAAAGGCAAGCATCCCCCGGACAAAAAAGATTCTAGGTTTGTTAGTCTATCTCAATCATACCTGTTTTCTGTCCAGTAATAAATATCATACATATTCTGGCTCTCAGCATGTGGACCAATACACTCTTTACCCCGCTTCTTCATAGAATCAAACGCCTCTTCACTCATCTGATTCTGCTGTTTTTCATGGTACGATTTCCTAATGACCGATTAATTATATGAATTGAATATGAGAGATCGCACCCTTCTTCAGCTCTTTGCTGCTACTGCTGCTTCATTGGTGAACGCTACTCCTTCAAACAGCTGGGATCAGAGCGTAGATATCATCAATGGCAGTGTTCGCATCTACGGCGATGACGCTTATCCTGTCTTGTACCGCCGTGCCCTTCTCAACGATGCTCCCCGAGCCCGCTATCCTGGCTTCAAGCAGGAGACGTTGATCCTCAAGAATGGAACGGTTCGCCGTGAGGGTGCGAGGGCCTTGTCCTGCGACATTCGCTTTGAACGGGACCAACCCATGACCCTTCGCGATGGTACTGTCATCTACACTGATGTCTTCCGTCCGGTGGATTCCAACGCAAGCAACACCATTCCTGCCATCGTGGCCTGGAGTCCTTACGGCAAAGAAATTGGTGGACAGTGGCTGGACGACTTTCCCTACCGCGCCGGAGTCCCCCTGTCCCAAGTCTCTGAGCTCCAGAAATTCGAGGCTCCCGATCCAGCCTATTGGGTTTGCCAAGGATACGCCATTGTTAATCCTGATGCTCGTGGTGCCTATTCCTCCGATGGTAATATCACCTTCTGGGGTCGCCAGCTCGCTGAGGACGGTTACGACTTTATCGAGTGGGTGGCCGACCAAGACTGGAGCTCAGGAAAGGTCGGCATGTCTGGCAACTCTTGGCTCTCAGTCTCGCAGTGGTTCATCGCTGCTGAGCACCCTCCTCATCTGACCGCGATAGCGCCATGGGAGGGCCTGACTGACCTGTATCGCGACTCAACCAACCGTGGCGGTGTGCCCTCACCAGCCTTCCAGGAGGCGATACTTACTACGTTCGCTGGCAAGGCCTACGTAGAGGACAACGCCCGCAAGATCACCAGCGAGCCCTTTGTCAATATCTACTGGGAAGACAAAATAGCTCGTGTCGACCAGATCACCATCCCGGCTTACGTCGTAGCGAGTTACACGAACCCCGTGCACACGCGCGGCTCTTTCCAGGGATTTCGCGACATGAAGTCGACGGAGAAGTGGCTGAGAGTTCACAACACCTTTGAATGGCCCGACTATTACGAACCCGCTCATGTCGCCGAGCTCACCTCGTTTTTCGACTACTACCTGAAGGGCAAGGAGAACGGTTGGGCGGAGACGCCTCGTGTCCGCATCTCTGTACTTGACCCGGGCCATGAGGATGAGGTCAACCGCGTTGTAGCTGACTGGCCTGTTCCTGGATTGACCGGCAAGACTTTCTATCTCTCTGCCGACGGCTTAAGCGACACCCTGCCCTCCGATGCATCCTCCACCTCCTACGAGGTTGCCACCGACAGCGCCGCCGGCTCGGTCTCCTTTAGCTACTCTGCCACTGACCTTACCGAGATCATTGGGTACATAAAGGTCAAGCTCTGGGTAGAAGCGGACGGCTCTGACGACATGGACCTGGACATCACTATCCAGAAGACGGACAAGGATGGAAATTCATATCAAACAGTGACCGGCGGCATCATCTCCACTCAAGGCATCATCCGTGCTTCCATGCGTGCTCTCAACAAGCAACTGTCCACGGACTTCGAGCCATACCAGGCTTTCACCAGCGAGAGCTTGCTGACCCCTGGCGAGATCTATCCTTTGGAGGTCGGCCTCTGGCCCACAGCTCTCAGGATCCATCCCGGCGAGCACATTCTCCTCACTATTTCCGCTCACACACCCATCCCTGCTGACTTGGATCTTGGGTTCGGGTCCGCTCTGGAACATGTTCCCGCGGCGGGTGGCACCTTCTTGGAAGGGACCAACGTGAATCTTCAGGCGCTTGGTGGTTGCACGGACTGCAATCCTCCATACGTCAACGCGCAGCGAGTGACAACCCCTGTCAGCCGTAACAAGGGCAGTCACATCTTCCACTTTGGGGGTAAGTATGACAGCTACGTCCTCATGCCTCTTAATGTCTCTAGCTCTAGTACGAGCGAGCCGGCAGTACAATCGGGAAGAAATCTAAAGGATGAGTTGTGAATGAATCGGGCTTCATGCTAGGAACCACGGGGGAAATTATGCGGAAGTGGGGTGAAAGGACTCCGAAGTGGTACATAAGTAGTTGTTAACTCCGATTCCGTCAAGGAACAAAGCAAAGATCAATATACATATGCTGGTCACTTATGCCTTAACCGTTAGTATAAAATACCTACTTTATAACCTAAATGATAGTGATCTATTGAGTAGTGTAACGGTATGACTCTAACATTCTGACATCTTATTACGGCCCGTTATGCGACCTTTACGTATACCCTATAATTTTCTTACTCATCACTATCTTTCCTACTTATACATAATAAGAGCGATCACCTTAATCACCTAGCGATCGCAATAATCGCTCCCCACGATTATTATATCCCTTTAGCGATCGCCTAGTATATAGTCAACCTTATTTCTATAGCCTAGTCACTCTCTACCTAGCTATTAATACAATAGTTAACGCTTCTTTTAGAACCCTAGTTCCTTCTACAATTAGTACCTACGACTATAACTGCCTTATTGCTTAGTTAGACGCCCTAACGGCCTCGCTAATATAAAACCGACACTTCTCTAACTACCCTATAGTATAGAGTCGTACTAACCGTTATATATTAATAGCTCTTACTTAGACCGTTACTATATTAAACACTAAGCAATATCTAACACTATATCTTCTACTATACCTACGTCCTCTAATGTTAGGAATAATAGTAATAATACCTAAAAAGATCTAGGTAAAACCCTTAAGCTTAGGAGCCCTAGACCTTTCGATAGTACTAGAGGAGAACTCTAGGGATTTATTATATAACTTAAGACCTATTATAGGTTCTTTTATAATAAACTTAGGTTTGCCTATAATAAGGTCCTATACGCGGGAACTTGCCTAGAAGGACTAGCACTCTTATAGTTTAAACTAATTCTACGAGACTTCCTCGAGAAGGCTAGTAATAACTAAGATAATAAGACTAAAACTATCTTCGCTACCTTTAAGAGATTTAAGGAAGCTCTTAAGGACGCTTTTAGTAATATAGACGTTACTAGGGACGCTATATAGAAGATATAGTCTCTTAAATAGCGAGGATCTACCGCTAACTACGCCGCTATTTTTCGATAGATCGCTCTTAAGACTAAATAGGATAACGAACCCCTTATAAGTATCTTTTATTAAGGACTTAAGGAAGAAGTTAAGGACGAACCCTATAAGGAAAACACTCTTAATAGCCTCTCTAAGTATATCGCTATAGCTATTAGGATCGATACTTATTAATACGAACGATAAAAAGAACGATAAAATAAAAATCGTAACTAGGGACTAGTCTACGTTAATTAAGGAAACCGCTATAATAACTAAGCTAACTAAGGGAGACTACGACGCTACGCGAGTACCTCTTAAAGCGGAATAACCTATACTAGACCTATAGAACTAGATATAATGCGAGATAAGTTAAAGGAGACTTATTATAACTATAGAAAAAAGGGACACTACGCCTAAGAGTGTTAATAGAAGAAAAGAGAATAGAAACCTATATAGGAAGGAAAGCACCTTAATACCCTTACTAACTAAGTACGAAGTGGCGACGATACTACTACTAAAAAATATAAGCTCCTCTTATAGATAGTATACTACGATGACGGTTATATAATCTATATAAGCGATAAAGATAGAAGTAGATAGTACCTATAAAAGCTAAGAGGGAAGCGAGCCCTCGCCGTGATAGAGAGACGACCCGTTTAACGCGAAGACGCTACCTTAAACGAAGCAATTATTAAAGATAAACCTTAAGAATAGTCTATATTTAAAGAATTCGCTAACTATTCTATTTCTAACTCGATAGGAATAAATAAGGCTAAATAGTTCGAATAGGATACTAACGATCTAATAGAGGAGATCGAACTACTAGTCTAGAGTAGTAAAGAAAGAATAGGTAACTAGATCTTACGATAAGTAAACGAACTCTATAAACATTATATCTATAATAATAAAAGCACGATAGAAAGCCGAGTATTATATAAGATTAGTAAGATTTTCTAGACTACCGACCCCTATACCCTTGAAGGAATAAGAACTAGGGGATAGGACGAAATAAAATAATAATATATAAGGGATCGATACCTACTAAACTATATTTAAGAAATCGAGGACTCCCTAATAAAGGGACTAGGAGTTACCGATAGCGATAGAGCACCTACTTGCGTTTAGGGTTTAGGGTTTAGCTTAGGGTTAGGGTTAGGGTT